ACTTTTCTTTATAAATTACCCACTTCTAAGTGCTCTGTCACGGTAGCAGCAAATGGACTAAGACACTAGATGTCTGTGCAGATGGAGATGAGGCGAGTACATGAATTGATAGACTGAGTGAAGCAGATGCACCCCCACACCCCAGTATGGGCAACCCCCCCCCCCCGCAGGCAGTGGCAAGTCTGAGTGGCACAAAAAGCCTACTTCTCCTAGGAGTAATGGGAGGCGGATCCCCTTCCAACTGGCCACCAGCCAACCGCAGATTCGCAGATTCGCTTGTCAGCCTCTGGAATTTTGTGAGCTGATTCCTTGTGCTCTCTGGCTCTCCCTCCCTCCCTCCCTCCCTCCCTCCCTCCCTCCCTCCCTCTCACCATTCACTTTCTCTTTCTTCTCCCTCCCTTTGCTTCTCCCTCTCCCTCTTTCTCCTCTCTCCTCTCTCCTGCCTCCCCCTTGTCTTGAGTGTTTCTCTGGAGAACCCAGACCAGGACAAGCTTCCTGTCTCTACTTCAGCTTCCTCTGACTTCCTGGAATTTCTGTCTTCACAAACTTGTGTCAAGTGTTCCTTGGCTACCTCAGCATGAGTTCTAATAGGAGCAACTACTAACCCAAATCATAGGAAAATGGTTCTGGGGGCACCACTACCAGGAGAGGTCAGTGTTGAATCTTGGAGAGCTGCCTGCATACCGTTACTACGTCAGCAGGGGCTGTGGCAGGTAAGGGTGGAGGACTCAATACCCAAAACCCTGTAGCTGTACTTGATCTGTGCCAGTCAGCCAGCTACTTGGGTCAGGCTATGTCTCTGTGGTGGCTTGTATGACTCTGACGTCTTTGGAGCGTGATAGCAGTGTTTTAGTCCACTTGAGTTGGAGGAGGTCTCTTGGGGACAGAGTGGAGGCTAGGGTAGTGCCTTTCCATACTTTACCACATCTTTAAGAGACCGCAGTGGTGACTGAGACTGGAGTCCCAAGTGTTCATAGAAAGGAGGCCACACTTGGTTTCTGCTGAGTGGTCAGAGTGTGTGTCTTGTGAGGGGCTGTCCTTCCTGGGGAGCTCATGGCTAAAGTGGGTTCGGAGACCGATGGCAGCTGTAGTGTTTCCTGATACCCTTGCTTTGCTACTTACTAGCTCAACTTCTCTGAATCTCATTGTCCTCTTGTCACATGGAGACAATGAAATTGTCCGTCTCACATGTCCTGGGGGATGAGGTAACACTTGGGGCAGAGCGCCGTCGAACTCCAGCCTTGCCTTCCAGGTCCATCTTCCTGCAGTAAAGGGTAAGAGTGGGGTCAAGGGAGTCCCCATCCTGAGGCCCCATAGCAGGAGAAACCCACAGCAGGCAGAGTCGGGCTCCCGAAGTGTGGATCTCAAGATGGACCTGTGGACCTACCCCTCCTCTCAGGGTTCTGTCTGGCCCCTCCTCGTTGAAACTTTCTCTTTCCCACCACACAGGGCAGGAGTTCATCTTCTCCCAGACACACACAGTGACGAAAGCCTACATCTGGAGACCAAATGTGTGAGTTAGGGTTCTTTCTCTCAAGTTGTAGCACACCGGGCAACTGGGTAATTTGTAAAGCACTCCCATGCCTCAATTCATCATGTTAAACCGAGGATGGTTATTTATTTATTTATCTATTTATTTATTTAAATATCATTTTTCACCAAGTGAGCAATTCCCAGGTCGAAAGAAGTTCCATGCCGCCTTCTCCACACAGCCCTGAGAGTGGTTTTTTAAAGCATCTTTCTCATAGGAAGAGCTGTTGTGGGAGGTGAACCAGGTTAAGGGCGGAAAGCAGGTGGCACTGCCTGGCGCCACCTGGCCATTACATCTTCCTCTGGGGCTACTCCCACTCCTCCCTGAGTCCCTTGGCCAGGCAATTCCCAGCCAAGGTCAGCTGGAGGCCTGCATGTCCCCATCAGAGGTCCAGGGGGAGGTCCATTAACACCGTGGGCCTCTTGTTGATGGCATGGTCTAAGGGGCTACAGTGGGTCTCTAGGGGACTGTGTAGTTAGTTCCCAGTCTGACTAGCTAACATCCCACAGGGTGAGCAGGGGCTTGGCTGAGACTGTCATTCAGATTCCTTCACCACTTGCCCGGGCTCAGAATGCTGTCCCTAGCCTCTGCCTCTATTCAGAGTTCAGGTTGCTTGGGCTAAAGAAAGGCCTGGGGATCCCTTGGGATCCCTCAAAGTGAAATGTTTACAGTTGGGTGACTCTTGAGTTTGAGGAAACATATTCCTTATTCCTTGAAGTTGCAGGCTGCACACACAACCATGAGGGACAATAGGGAGAGAGCAGTCATGTATTCTAGCTATGCGCAGTAGTGGGGGCATCCAGAAAGCTCAGGGTCCCTGCAGATAGCCACTCCCAAGGCGTGTCTTTCCTTCCTTCTTGTGTGAACACTACTCACCCTCCATGACATCTGTGACCGAGAATTCCCTGACTTCCCCTCACAATGCTCTTCCCAACTCTTCTGTAGTTGACTTACAACCCTTGGTCTTTTGTGTTCACAACTGTCCCTAGCAACCGCAGAGTGCCAACCCTTGAGAACAGGAGTGGGTCTTCTTCGTTCTCGCTTTCACAACCGCATGCTTGCATTTGGCAGGTACTTAGCTTAGAGCCATTGAATTGGAAAGGATCAAACCCTTTTTTATATATTGTTGCACTTTTCCAGAGAGTCTGATCCACTGCATCTTGGAATATGCTTCAAGATTCCAGAGGCTAAAAATATCATCCCAAAGCTATTGAGGGACTCTTCCATGTAAGGAGCCCAGTTGAGGCTCCCGAAGCTGAAAGTGTATGCCCACCAGGTGGCGCCCTAACCCATAGTCTCCAGATGCCTTTTGTTTTTTTTTAAGAAGATGGAAGAGTTCTCTTCCTTTCCTCCCTGCTCACAGAAATGCCCTCTTCAGTCCAGCAGCCAGATTCAGCTGCTGGAAGCAGTTCAGTCTCAACCCTAGCCAAGGGTTGAGCACATCCCTACAGGTGTTGCTGAGTTAGTATCAGAGTGTGCAGGGTTGGATTCCAGTAGGACACAGACTCTGCTTTTACATATCACATAAGTAATATGTAAAAATATTTGGACTGTAGAGGTGGAGTCAGCATAGCCTGAGTCCTCCCTGAGTCAGCTGCTTCAACTTCTGAGCCTGCTGTCTCCATCAGTGGATCAGGGCTAAGAACAAGTATCTCATAGTGTTGGTAACCATCAGCTAGAACAGTAAATACAACTTCTTGCCACAGGGCCTCACACAGTAAACATTCTGTCCCCAGAACCATATATATCCTGTGTTTCTAGCCTCTAAAATGTTCAACATTTAATAAGCACTCACTGTCTGCCTGCTTCATGAAACAATTTCACAGATGAAGTAATCGGATGCAGAGGGTTAGACAGCCCCTCCTCCATGCCCAGCTACGTAGTCATGAAGCAATGGCAGACTGATTCCAGTGCCGTGACTGTTACACATCACATTTTAGTATTTTCATGTGCATGCGGAGCTTTCCTGAGTAGTGGCAGGCCAAAGTTTTTTCTTCAAAGTAGAGTCAGGCTGCTGGAGAAGGGACCTACTGTGCCAGGCCAGGGGGCTCTGAGTTAAGGACCAGGATATGAAGGGGGAGCTCTACAATGTAGAATCAACTGGAAGTCTGATCCAGGCATTGTTCCATAGACAAATGTGTCTTGCTTAATTCCTAGTGCTGTTCCTGTAGCTACTCGGCAATGAACTTTGTTTATACGTACTGAGTGAGGGTCTCCTGTGCGCCAGGCCCTGGAAAAGATGGATAAGCCCGACTAGACTATGGTTTATGACATAGCAGACTGAAGAACTAACTACTTACTGCAGAGGAATGGTTGAAATGGAGGCCCAGGCAAGCAAATAATTATCAGCATGGAAAGCTGGACCCAAAGTCAGTGGTAATTAAACTGGACATTGTCTGCCAGCTAAGGAGGGTTTGGGAGATGGAGGGCATTCTGAGTTCATGTGGGAAACATGCAAGAAGTGACAGAGTTCGGGCATGAGTGGGGGAAGGAAGTGGAAAAAACAAGACACTGGAAGTTGGTTGGGGACGGATTACACAATATGCCACATTGACAAGGCACAGCTCTGTACTGTGCCCAGTGAGGAAAGGCACTGCTAAGAACTAAGAACAGTCAGGTCTGTTTCAGAACCCGGCTGAAGAATGAAGGCTGGCTCCTGGGGGAGGGGACTCCTGGGGGAGGGAACATGAGAAGTCCTCACTGCTTTCCTGGCCTGGACGCCTTTAGGGAGACTTCAGGAAGATGAAGAAAATGATGTTCTTGTCTCTTGTGTTGTTGGAGCCTTACACGAGAATACCAATAAACCTTGGCATCATTGGCTCTTTGCCATCTGGATGAGTAGTTAAGCACACAGGACATTCTGTCTCTTAGAGTTGTGTGTGTGTCCTGGCCATATTAGATGACATATTTTTAATTTAAGCAAGACACAAAGATGGTCAGGAAGGAATGGCCAAGAGTGTTTGGCATTGCCATGCTCTGTGAGCTGTGGGTGAGACAGCCAGTAAGTGATGGTTCCTTACTCTGACCGAGAGAATTTCATGGCTAGACAGCCTGAGCCCAGCTTTAGACAGCGAATTTGTGATGGACAAGTGCAGGGTACCGGGGATGTCCCAGACAGAGCAGTTGTCAGTTCAGGCTCCCATGGGAGAAACTGATGTCTCCCATCTCCTATGAATGGACAGGGGTTCACTAATCAAGGGGGTTCAGACACAGGCTGGGAGGACGCTGTTGTAGCCAGTTTCCTTCTCTGCAGACCAGTTAGGCCCGCAAGGCAGAGCTGGGGTGGCTCCAGATGTTGGCAATTTTGCAAACTTGGCCCAGCCAGTGCGAGCAGCCAGGGCAGAAGGCCTGCCATGGGCTTGGGGGTGCGGGCCTTAGGCCCTAGCCAGAGGATGAAGGAATCAGAGCAGAGGGGGGGGGGCAGGGTGAAGGGCGCGACGGCAGGAAGCCGAGAGGCGCGAGCAGGGGTGGAGACCGATGAGGGGACGGCCAAAGAGCGGGTAGGAGGGCTGGAGAGAGCCAGAGAGAAAGAGTAGGAGAGAGGAAAGGACGAAGGGTGGCGAGGAGAAGCAGCGCCAAGGACTCGGAGCAAAGGGAGGCGCACAGGCCGCAGCGGGAGCAGCGGGGGCAGCGGGCTCGGGGCCGGGCCGCCCCTGCGAGCAAGGCGCAGCCATTCCGCTGCTCGGGGCGCCGCCGCCGCCGCCACCGCGCCCGGGGGCCATGCTCCCGCCACCCCCGCGCCAGCCGCCGCCCCAGGCGCGCGCGGCCCGCGGATCCCTGCGCCTGCAGCGGGCCTTCCTGCGCGGCCCGTTGGGCGTGCTGCGTCTGCTGCAGCTGCTGGCGGGAGCCGCCTTCTGGATCACCATCGCTACCAGCAAGTACCAGGGCCCAGTGCACTTCGCGCTCTTCGTGTCGGTGCTCTTCTGGCTGCTCACCCTGGGCCTCTACTTCATCACGCTGCTGGGCAAGCAGGAGCTGGTGCCCGTGCTGGGCTCGCGCTGGCTCGTGGTCAACGTGGCGCACGACCTGCTGGCCGCTGCCCTCTACGGGGCCGCGACGGGCATCATGATCGACCAGACGCAGCGCCACAGCTACTGCAACCTCAAGAGCTACCGACTGCCTTGCGCCTACCATGCCTTCCTGGCGGCCTCCGTGTGCGGCGGCCTCTGCCTCGGCCTCTACCTGCTCTCGGCGCTCTATGGCTGCTGCCGTCGCTACCAGGGCAAGGAGGAGGTGGTGTGAGGCCGCGCTCTCCACTGCGGCCCAGATCGGTGCGGGGATCCCTCCCGAGCCCTTCCTGCCGCCCCCTCCCCGTGCCGGTGCGCCCCTGCACCCTCTCCCTGCCTGTGTTCCCACTGTCCGCGCCCTGGATCCCCGACGTTCAGTTCCAGTCTGACTGCTGCACCGCAGCTTAGCCCAGATATCAGTTTCCAGGGACCAGCGCAGCTACCCAAGGCACTGACGCACACGGTCAGATGGGCCGCCCCAGGAGAAGCCTGGAAGTCCCTTTTCCCATTCCTTGTCCAGAGCTAGACGTGGACAGGCGCCGCCGCGTAGATCCGGCGGAGGCTCCCAAATTGGAAACAGTCTTTGGATTGCGCCTCTGCCCCCTCCCTCCTGCCCTGCAGTCGAAAGAGCATCCCTTCCCTGCCCCCCCCCCCCCCCCCCCGCTTCCAGCCTGGGGTGGTGTAGAATGCAGTCAGACTGTTGCAAGCGGAGCTGGGGACAAGCCTTAGCTGGTGCTGGAATGAATGACGTCTTTAGTTGTAGTTTGGATCTCTCCCTGCGTAGCCCTACAACATCGAAGTTTTTGGGTGGGACCAGCTACAGGAGTGTTGGCTAGCAAAGGCCCGCTGGCTGTACCTTACTAAACAAGGCAAGTCTGTCTGCATTTACCCTTGGGGTTCATTCAGACCAGGCCAAATGTGCTATCTTCCCTGGCCTCTCGGATTTCACTCACCGGCTTCTGCTGCACCCCACCTTTAAATATGTTTGTATTAGGGATCCTACGTGATCAACAGCAATTGTTAAGATGATGCCCACCCCTTTGGGGGCCCAGATCCCGCTCTCGGGAACAGCTCTTTTAAGATAAGAGCCACATTTTCCCTCTAAAGTAGTAGGCCGTCTAGGGAACCATTCAGGCACTACCTCCAAAAGAAGGCTTCGAAGGCAAATGGGCCTGTCAATGGTGCTGTCTTCCCGTGAAGATTCAGTGTTGGGTAGCATAATGAGGTCTCTGAGAAATCCCGCAGGTACACGCCCACATATGGTCAATTAGTTCACTGAATTACTATTGGGCCCAAGCCATTCCCACCCCAAAGCTGCCCCATGCTGCGTGGGTCATTCCCACAGTTTGGCCATTGAAGACTGGGAAGCTCCTCTTTCCCTGGGAGTTTCTCTAACTGGGGGGAGGGGGTTGCACACAATGACAAAAGGGCTGGATGCCCCTCACCAGCCAGAGGCCTGAGAACTGTTGGGTGGTTTTTCACATGATTGGAAAAACGAAGCTAAGGATATCCAGGTGGTCTGCCAGTCTAAAGGACAGTCACTTGCAAGAGATGCTGGCATTGACGCTGAGCAGCAGGTGGGATGAGCTCTGCCACCAAGCTGAGAACTCTTTGGACCTGGGGTGGACAGCGGGTGCCACCTCTAAGGTAAGACATTTTTTGATTACTGGGAAGTGTCATAGGCTTGTGAATAGACAGCATGGTGCCACCTCCTTTTCCAGAAATGAAAGTGATTTTACTCGAAGCAAGTAAGAAGAATGCCAGTGATAACCACAGACGTTGTGAAAATTCACTGTTTTTACTAACGCCTTCAAAGACCCTTAGCTTTCTCTGGAAACACACGGACACAGGACACTGCCTGTTAGAGAGTGAGCCCAGTGCTCCTGTGGTGTCGGGGAAAGCATCTATTGTGGGGCTGCATGCAGCCCTTGCAAGTGCATTTTCAAGCTTGGGTGTGAAGGTGTTGGGTTTGTCTGCTGTCTTCATGAAGGTAGTGCCGGAGTAGAATATACGTTTTATGAGCACTTACTACTATAGTTCTACTGTGTGGGTATACTGCTTGAATGCATGTATTCTCTATATAGTACTGTGAGATCGATGCCCAAAGTTGGTTTTGAACCCTGACAGGCCAGCTTCTTCCATACTATGTATGGCAAGGGTCAATATATACTGGACATGGCTAATTTTTTTTCTGGGACTAAGTGTGTGGCTTGGTGGTAGAATAATGAATAGTATGTATGAGGCCCTTGGTTCACCACCCAGCACCAGAAATATTTTTTCCTAAATTGGTAAAATATGCATGACCTAAAATTTACCCTTGTAACCAGCTTTAAGGGTAGTTTGGTGGCGGTAAGGACAGTCACACAGCTATGCAGCCATCACCGGCATGCACCTCCAGAACTGTTTTCGTCTTGTAAAACAGTCTGTATCCACTAGGATTATGGGAGCTTGAGTTGGGTATGCTCATACGGTCATGTAATCCTAGAGTGTTGGAGGTTATAGAGGATGGATTATGAGTTTAAGGTCAGCCTGGGCTACATAGTGAGTTCCAGGCCAGCCCCAGTCACATAATAAGACCCTATCCTCTAAAGAGACAAAACAACAAAAAAGTTTGTGGGAGATTTTTGTCCATATTTTTTTCCCTCTCTGGGAAATTCCAGAACACAGCCTCCAATGTTCTTCATTGTCTCAGGCTAGCTCTACTGCCATGCTCCACAAAGGGTGACTTTCCCTCCAACCACAGAGAGTAACAGTCTGTGCCTAAGGTGGGCTTTGCTAGGACACCTGGGACACCTTGCTAGCCAGTGATTTTTGTTCCTATGTTGCAGGTTTCCATGTAGCCGAGGCCTCAAAAACTCCCAGAGTGGTCAAACTACCACAGCCCTGCCTGCTTGTCTGCACTGGTCTACTTGGGGCCAGCAGAAGGTTTAGGAGTCTCTGCTGCTGTGGGGCAGGTGGGCAGCAAGAGGTCTCTCCTTCACACTGTCTGGTGGAAGAGCCATGGTGGGGAAGACCGATTCCCTCCTTGATGCTAGAGGATTTCCAGTTCTCCTACATCATAATTTTGGGCACAAGATTCTGAACTCTTGGAACGGATCTTTGCCCATCTCCAGTTCCCTAAATGATGGGCCTCAGTCCCAGCTTTACCTGTTCTTTACCTGTTTGTCTTTTGTAGATAACTAAGCTCAGGTCCAATTCCCTGAGGAGCTCAGCCCCAGCGTTCTACATCTGTGGCCAGGTGACCTTGCTCAGGGTCACACATCCTGGCCCCGCTGGTGCCTCATCTGCCCAGATGTGCTTGTAGCATTCCAGAGCCCACAGCTCTTCCTGATGTGCCTTCCAGCCTGGCTTCCAACAGCTTTGTGGTCCTTCAGTCTGCCAAATGTGAGAAGGGTGGATGAGACTGCCTTGCCACCCACCTTCCCTCACACGCCACAGAATGATCACCTGATGTCCCGGAACATTTGGGTACCGGCAGTTGTCTCCTCGGCTTACTTCTCTGACACCAGGACTGGGGCCAGGCCAAGACCACCCACACAGCTCCCAACCAAATGTCTGGGGCCTCTTGTGGGCCCAGGACACAAATTCAACCGTGTGTACAAAGGCCAAGCAGGGGTGGGTTTTGGTATAGGGAGGGTGGCTAGAGGGAGGAGCCATGTGCCTTATCCGGTAGTGTAGTCATGGTTGCCCCAGGATGCCTTTTGGAATAAAGTTTGGTTTGTCTGATCTTGTGCTTTTGTTTTACGTGCTAGTCCTAGGCTGGGTTCCTCCAGCAACCCACACTTGCCTTCTAGGAGGGAAGGGAACATGAGCTCACAGGTTTCCACTTTGGTTAGGGGCCTGAGGGCAGGATCCAGAGAGAAACACTCTGTTTTTTGTCAGTGCTGAAAGGAACTACAGAGGCTTCCTCCCTCCTGCCTGCTCTCTACTGGCCCCCTATTTATGGGTGCCACTCCCTGTCAGGCTGGGAGTGACTGTTGTAGAGCCAGCAGGGTCCTGTTTTGGTCCAGCCCCATCAAACAGAGCATGAATCAGTTCAGGACACATAGGCATCTTGTCTAATGCCTTACAGCTTATTCTGAACAAGCTGGAGGTGCCTGGCCAGCCTGGAGCCCTGGCCAGCCTGGAGCCCTGGCCATGGTTTGCTGCTGCTGTGCCTGGCCTGTGGTCCTAACCCCCCAGAGGTTATTGGCTAGCTGTTCCCTGCTGATGGAGATGCTCCAGAGTCTTGCAGCAGAAGGGAGCAGCTTCTTGGGTTCCTCCTACTGCTGAAAAACAGGACCTGGTTGTCAGCGCTTCCTGGGCATAGCACCAGCCGGGGTCTGACGCCCTATGCTCTCCAAGCCTGCCTGCTCCCCAAGACCATCCTACAGGGTGAAATTCAATGACATGGCAATCCTCACCTCCCTTCTCTTTTTGTTTTGATTTGGGCTTTCCAGGGTGAAGTGCCACTTGCTGCAGAGCCCACCCTTTATGCCCTTCTCTCAATTTCTTGGTGTGTCTGCGGGAACATATATGTATGTAAACATGCACATGGAGGCCAGAGTGGACTTCAGATGTCTTCCTCACCTTCCTCATTGCCTCTCCACCTTAAAAACAAAACAAAACATATGATCTCTGGAACTGGCGATGTGGACCCAAACTCAGTGATCCACCTGCCTCTGCCCCCCGAGTGTTACCACACATGACTTCTGCCTTATTTTCTATAGGTGTATTTATATTATTTCGTATATATGGATGCTTGTTCCATGTATGACTATGTATCTTGTTCATCATCATGGAACTAGAATATGTGAATGTGGATGCTTGTGAACTGCTTTTCAGGTGTTGGAAATCAACCTCTGTGTGTGTGTGTGTGTGTGTGAACCTTTGCAAGCATAACGAGTAATCTTACCACTGAGCCATCTCTTCAGCTCCCACCTTATTGTTTTGAGGTTGAATCTTTCACTGAACCTGAAGTCCACAAACTGGCTAGCTCTAGGGGTCTTCTGGATCTCCATCTCCTCATCGATGGAATTACAGGTGTGCCATCACACCCAATGTTTAGCATGGGTGCTGGGCACTGAATTTAGGTCCTCATGCTAGCACACCAAGCTCTTTATGGACTGAGTCATCTCCCAGCCCCCTAAATTTCCTAGACAATATTAAAAGTTGTGCCTATTCTTACAAGGGCCGGTGAAACCTACTTGGCATGATTAGCTTGCTGGGGTGGAACAGATGCTTTTACTTGAGCTACTTAATCCTCACTGACTGTTGCCCTTGAGCTTATAGAGAAGATAGAGTCTTGGAGAAGGAAAGGCCTTGTCCAAGGTCACATGACTGGCTGTTGAGAAGACTGAGACTAAAAGCAGATCTCCCCTTAACCCTTTGTTGTCCTTGGCAGGCTCTGTAACCTAAGTAAAGTTAGGTGTTCAATGTTTGCGATTGGGTGCTCAGGCCTGCTAATGATTTGGCACTTCCCCTTTAATATTTTTTTAAGTGTGTGTGTGTGTGTGTGTGTGTGTGTGTGTGTGTGTGTGTTTGTGTGTGTCTGTGTCTTGGATAAAGGACTCTTTGAAATAAGACACCGCTTTTTGAGTTTGGGAAATCCCAGAGATTTGGTTTACTCTTTTGTGTTTTGTTTTGTCTGTGACTTTTCCCATTTTTCTAGCTGGGGGCAGGGTAGCTGGTGGTAGGAAAGATTTCGTAAGCTGCCATTTTCAGGCATAAAGAGGAGAAGCAAGGATAAGAAAGAGAAAAGTCATGTTCTGTAGTCGTGGCCGAGTGGTTAAGGCAATAAATTAGAACGAAAGAGAAATGTCTGGTTAACGTGGTTTATATATGTATTTGTTGTTTCTCTTTTTACAATACTTGGAAACTAGAGTAGCTGACAGTGTTTATTATATTAGTTAGGGTAACTATTGCTATGAGGAAACACCATGACCTAAGGATTTATGGGAAAGAAAGGATTTATCTTGCTTGCCCTTTCAGGTAACACTCCATCCCTGGGGAGGGCAGAGTAGGAACTCCAGGCAAGAACAGAGACACAGGGACTGAGGCAGAGACAGGAAGGAGAGCTGCGAACTGACTTTCTCCCTCATGGCTTGCTCAGCCTGACTTTTGACAGCACTCGGGTCGCCCGCCCATGGGTGACACCACTCACAACGGGCAAGGCAATCCTGCTTTAATCACTAGTTAAGAAGATGACCTGCAGGCTTGCCTACAGCCCAGTCTTATGGAGGCATCTTCTCAAGTGAGGCTCCCTCCCCTGATGACCCTAGCTTGGAATAAGTAAGACTCACCAGCACAGGGGCTGCCATGTAGCTCCGTTGGTAGAGAGCATTTGTACCATAGCATTCACAAAACATTGGGTTCAGCCTCCGGCAACACACAAACTGGGCACATTTGGTGGATAATCCTAGTACTGGGAAAGTGGAGGCAAGTTGATGGTCATTCTCTGCTACATATGCCTATCTGAGGGCACGCTAGGCTACAATAAATAAATAAAGGGTCACCAAGTCAGCTCAGCCAGTAAAACTGCTGGTCTCTCAAGTACGACAATCTGAGTTCAAGCCCAGGAAACTACATAAAGATGGGAGGAGAACAAATCCCACAAAGTTGGCTTCTGACCTCACACTTGAACCATCATGTGTGCACCCACATACGCATTGAAGGTAAAACAGGAAATAACAAGGAAAGGACATGGTTGCTCCTAGGTATGGTGGAGGGGGAAGGTTACTGTGGATAAAAGGGAGAGCTTAGCCAGAGGCAGGTACTGGGAGAGTCCAGAATGGACATGACCAGACTGAGCTGGGCCATGTGAGAAGAGAGAGAGTAAGAAAGGAGCCACCGCCCAAGAGGGGTGGCCTGGGCCAAGAAACCGGCTTTGGTCATGGTGTTTCATCGCAGAAATGGTAACCCTGAGACAGCCCTCCCTATTTTAATTTTAAAATATTTACTGTATGTGCACCTGAGTGCAAGGGCTGGAGGGGGCATTGGATCCCTGGATCTATAGTTGACAAGTGGTTATGAGCTGCACCTGAGGGTGTTGGGAACCAACTCTGGTTCTCTGCAAGAGCAGTACAAGCTCTAAAGCACGGAGCCATTGCCTTTTCCCAACCATCGGCATGTTACTTGGCACAGAGATCCTCCTATCAAAATAAAACAGGGGAGAAAAACTGGTGGAACAGATAATTTTATTCAAGTTTGGGCTTGGGACAGTGTGGTAGTGCTATTTCTGCTTCATAGAAAAGCATCCCCTATTTTCAAAATGGGCATTTGTCTCAGGAGTTTTCATGGGATGGTGGGTGGAGGATTTCTGCGCTGGGAGAGGTAGATTCTCAAGCTTGGAAAAGTCCTTTGTTTTCTCATAAGCTCTTTGAAGGATTTGCAGGGTGGGGATTCAGTCTCTTTTCTTTAAAATTATCTTTCTGGGGGCTGGAGAGATGGCTCAGTGGTTAAGAACACTGACTGCTCTTGCAGAGGATCCATGTTCAATCCCCAGCACCCACGTGGTGATTCATAGTTATCTATAACTCCAGTTCTAGAGGATCTGATATCTACTTCTGACCTCCTCAGGCACCAGGCATGTGTGTGGCACACAAACATACACTGAACGAAAACACTCATGCAGTTAAATAAAATGAATGTAAAAAAATGTTTAGCTGGGCAGTGGTGGCGTACACCTTTAATCCCAGCACACTCAGGAGGCAGAGGCAGGCGGATCTCTGTGAGATCAGTCTGTTACACAGAGAAACCTTGCCTCAAAAAAACCAAAGTACAAAAAAAAAAAAAAAAAAAAAGAAAGAAAGAAAGAAAGAAATGTTCCTAGCCTGATCTGTTAATGGATAATGGGCCTTGTATTGCAAGACAAGAAGAAAAAAAAAATGTGGCATGCAGAAGGAGGAAGGAGGAAGTGATGTTAAAAGCTCTCCCTGGCACTTAGCAGTCTGAGGAAAGGATATATGCTGTTCCTCCTGGAAAGGGGAGGCAAGAGGGATTGGCAGGCCTTTGTTTACATTTCCTATCAAAGCTGGCTAAGGAAAGGCTAGTACTTCCTGGTACGCGTGACTCCCTTATGAGTTCATTTTTATTTCTCTCTGTAATTTCTAGCTTGTTCTGTTATGTGAAAACGTCATCTAAATCAAGTCCATGGGAGTTCATTTCTGTCTCGGGCCATGAAAGGAAGGAAGGACTGTAAAGAAAGCTGGCTATTACAAATCTGAGATTTAAGCAGCTCACCGTGCGGAGCCCAGCTCTCCGGCTGCCTGGAGCCAGTTCCTGTTTGCTAGATGCACACAGAGCATCCTCCAGTGTAACCTGGCACAGCCTCTCATGCTCCTGCCCACTCCTTCTGTGGCTCCCAAGCAGTTAACATCACTGACTCTGCTTCAGTCAAGCCAATCCATCTCTTATTAGCAGGCCTGGTTTCCAGAGCCTCTATGGGTCAGAACTTCATCATTCAGCCAGCAGGGTGGATGCTGGCTCCCGCTCACTGGATGTAGAAAGAGCATCATTAGCTCCCGCCCATAGATCACAGGGCCTGGCAATTAAATGTGCGCAGCTCTTTTTGAGGCAGCACGGCTGTCCTCTGTAGGATTTCCTGCGACCATGCAGATAAAATGCAGAGCCCTTACCATGCCCCATGTTCATAGCACCCAAGGCACCGTGCGTCTCTTCCCTACCTGAGAGATGACAGCCTTCCCATGGGCAGATAGGTGCTGTTCTCATGGATGCCTTCTGTGTTT